TTCTTGGGTGTGAGCTGAGTTTAGTTATTGCATTATAGGGTAGGCGTTGGCGCTGGGGCTTGTTTACGCGCTAAATTTGTGGTGCAGGGCTGCGCTCCCGTTTTAGATTATCTCTGCCTTTAGTAAAATTTTGTGCTACGCCTCCAGGAAATCTTCACAATTGCGCAGTTTCCTGAATTGTTATTAAACGCTTGGCCTTGTTTAACGTTATTTAGAAAGGATAAACATGGATATTTCGGGAGCGCCGACTGCTTCGGGATATTGCTGTCCCGATCAACCGTTGTTTTTATGGAATAATTCTATGAAATAATGCAGCGAATGACTGCAGAGGTGAAATGAAATTTTTAAGGCGATTCAAAGAATTTCGATGTTTGGCGAGGAAGATATATATAATCTATTGCCATTTTTTTCTATTTAATACAAGCTGACATCTCGTACGAATTGGTCAGCACAAAGAAAATTATTCGAATTTCTACTCGGTCTTAAAAAAAACAACTATACAATTATTATTTAATTGTATTGTATGGTTATTGCACTCATCAATGGCTTTATTAATTCAGAGGAATTTGAAGGAAAACTCAAAACGATATGAATATCAATCTTTTTCGCCTATTTATTTATAAGTACTCAACTGACTCATCTCTTAGCAAGTAATATAACGATCCACATGGTGATGCGAATGGCGCGCTACCGTACACGTAACACAGATACGCCCTTTTTTTGATGGGCCAAATTGAGTCAGGTTGACCCACCCAAGCGCAAGAAGTGCATCGAAATTTATACAAGGTTTCATTATTTTCTCCCGGTGTATGGTACTTCATAAAGTGCAGGTGATTATGTATTTGGAGTAGTAAGCTCCTTGATGGTTCTCAAAAGGTGCTGTAGATGGTGCTTCTAAAAGAATGAAATAGCAGCTACTGCTGGCGCGGGGGCCACAATAACCGGACAATGAGACGTAGAATTTATTACGTAAAAATTATAATAATACTTGTAATTAATTGCTAGCATGATGAATGGGAATTACAGACGCAATTTAAATTTTGGATAGGATATTTTCTAGAATAAATTAAAACCTTTGCTGATATATAACAGTAATATGCATATAATACAAAGCGTGTTTAATTAAAATTCAATTATTTTGGTAAATAGAAGTTGACTCCTTGTAGATAAATGGATCCGTTGGCGCATATTAATTCTCTAACGTTGTTCGAATATCTTCAATAAAGAAGTAGTTCGTGCAATCAGTAAATTTTAATTCAGACGGCCACTTTTTTCATTTTTCTGAAAGCCTCTATAATATTTTCCAATTGTATTGCTTATGAAATTAATTGAAGTTTATTAAATGACCATTATGTTATATTATTTTTGGAAGCATACATCCAATTCCAAAAGCATTTGACGAGATAATTCCGATTCATGCTATCATTAATGTATAAAAGGAATGTTCTAAGTTCAATTTGTTGCTTGAAAGTCATTTTTGCGATATGCGCCAAAGTTGTGTATTTCTCGTTCATGTTTTTTTTCGTAATTTTTAGCGCATTTTCTCATTTATGGAGAAAATGCACTATTGTGCTCGCCATGTCCGTCTGTCCGTCTGTCTGTCTATCCGTCCGTGACTTCAAGTTTTCTTCGACGAGAAAATGCGCTTTCTGTCACTCACTGCAGTGAGTACTGAGTTATATTTTTCAATTAGATATATGAATTTTCGTTACCTTTCTCTAGCATTCTTCTAAGCATTTTTGTGTTAGTAATTTGTGGGGACAATAGTTTCATTAATACTAACGTTGATATTGAGCTTAAAACAGGTGCATAAATTATCAAAAATATATAAATTTAAATAATGAATTACCTCAAATTATCATAATCCATAGAATCAAAACTCAAAGAGATACAACCACCTCACTCTATAGTGTATAGAAACTTGAGTTGCACAAATAAATATATTTAATACAAGGGAATAATCGACTCTTGAAAACATCAAAATTTTTTGCATGGAGGCAACCACCATCTCTGTGAGTCAGAGGAAGTAGACTGGATGAGGAACGAGAAAAAAAAAACTTGCGATGACACTAATTTTCTTTCAATCAAGTTACAGCAGTTACATTGACAAAGAAAACTCCTGGTTAGAAAAATAAAAACCCGTTCTAATTATGTTTACAATAATAGAAAATATTGTTGTGGAATCAATCATCACAAAAATCTTTAGAACAAGATAAATTTTTTAATCTGTTTTTACCCATTTTCTAAATTTCAATGTTGGAGGACAAAGAACAATTATTGCGAAACGAAATTTAGAGATTGTTAATGGTGTTAACGATCGGGCAGTTAAAGTTTACAGCGGCAACCTGTAGAAATTTTGTGGGCATCTAAACTTGAAAAATATGAAAATTCTATTCAGGAAATATTTAGTGTGAACCAACGAAACGTGTGGAGAAACAAGATAAATATTTAAAACATATGAAGATGCATTACAGTAGTCTCTTAACGGATGTGGAAAAAAAGTTATCTAGAATTGGCAGATTTAGAATATCCTGAAATAGCTGTTAAATAGCAGAATTTTGAAATACGTTCTGCAATAGAGATAATTTGCCAACCTTTAAATGGATGCTAAATATTTTTCGATCTAGGTATTTTCTACATGCTGTTCACAACATTTAAGCTTCTTTTTAACTTTCCTCCAACCTTTATCGAACCTCTCCTGTCCTCACCATTCACCTCGTAACTTTCTCACAACCCTCCTTACATCAACTTTTCAACCCAATTTGAACCTCCCAGCAACTTCCATTGCAGCGTAGCTCAAATCTCAACCATCAACTAGAGCGACGAGCATCTTCTCGTAGTCTCCAGTAGTGTCGCTCTGCACGGAGAGAAATAAGCTAGTGAGCATACCTAGACGATGGCCGTAAAACAAATGATCAAACCATTCAATTTATAAGCAAAATAGGGATAATTTCCAGCTAAATGAAAACATGAATTGTCAGTTATCAGAGAGCAAACCCGGAAGATGGCCGCTCTACTCAACGACTTATACAATGGCCACAAAAAATAATAAAACAATTTGAGTTATAAGCAATATAGCGATAATTTCCAGCTAAATACAAAATGAATTGTCATTTCTCAGAGAACATACCCGGACGATGAACGCCTTACACAATTAATTAGATAATGGCCGCAAAAAATAATCAAACAAAAGATTCAATTTATAAGTAGAACAGCGATTATTTCCGGCTAAATGAAAACATGAATTGGCATTTATCAGAGAGCATACCTGGACAATGGCCGCTCTACTCAACGACTTTTACAATGCCGCAAAATATTATCAAACAAACAATTAAATTTATAAGCAGTACAGTCATTATTCCTAGCCAAATAAAAGCATGAATATTGTCATTTCTCACCTTGATGCGGCTTTCTAGGCTCTTTCCGTACTTCTTCTCGTACTCGTGCTTGATGGTACCTAAGTCGATCTCTGCGCGCGTCACGACCAGCCTGATGAGTGCGTCGTCCTGTGCAGGGAGATCAGACATTAGATAGGGTCAGGGAATGCGGATGCAATTAACGATAAGTTGAAAATTATACAAAATAAATAATTTAAATTATAGTTTAAAACTAAAGGCTAATATTGTTGCTGCGATCGGCTAATATTGTTGCTGCGAGATAGTTTGAATTAACTGCGCCATGCGCTATTGAGTTATCATAAGCGAATTAGGATGCTTATATTGTTTCATGAAAAAGCACTAAGTGCTCATTTTGTTACGCTCACGGTTTTATGCACGGGTGCCGAACTTGATAGCCTAGCTAGATCGGTAATCGTTACTTAACTTCGTAATTAAACATGGCTTTCGCTGTACAATCCGTTCCTCGAACGAACCCATCGATGTTTACCGTGATATCTAGTTGAACCAATCGCTGTTCACCGTGATACCCTAGGGTATGCATCGATGTTCACCGCGATACCGAAATGAATCTATCCCTCCCTTCGAATCACCGATATGTGGAACAGCCTCCCCGATGACATAGTTGGCGCTCCAAGTATGAACGCGTTCAAGGACAGACTAGATAAAGCTATGGAAAAATATATGTTCAGATTTGAAATGCCTAGCACCATATCGAACCCGGTGGAAGTCGAGTAGCTATTTCAAACTATCGTCAGTCATGAAAAGATCCGGTCAAATAACACGATTTTAGATCTTCTGTGAACAAGGCACGAAAAGGAAAAGTATCGGCGACAGGCCACATCAGGCCTACACTTCAGCGCCGAGATCACTATGTTATGTTATAATGTATGCATCGATGTTCACCGCGATCCCGAAACGAATCTATCCATAATCACCGTATTAGTTACCTCCACGAACCCATCGATGTTCAACGTGATACTAAAATCAAAAAGTCAATCTAAAATCTACCTGAAGCCATCAAAGGCAATAATCTCACCTTAGTCCCAATTCCTTCCATGGCATCGTGCAGGCACTTGGCGTAGAACTTGGGACGGTTCTTGATGCTCGAGACAACCGCTAGGAGGCCGTTCTGCAGGTTACCTACGAACTCGCTCTTGATTGCGTCGGTCAGAGACTTGTCCTGTACATTCAGAAACAAATGTGAATGCACCGATAATATTTTGGTTGGAAAGTTCTAGTTTATTGAAGGAGTTTTACATGTAAGCCGAATTACACTGAACAGCTTGTACATTTGATACAACTGATGTGTACTGAGGCCTGCAGTGAAATCAGCAAACATTTAGATTTTCCTGATGAAAGTCAAATTATTTTTTGTGACCTTACCTGATACCGAAATCAATATGTTGCGAAAATCATTTTTTCGTAGCATTATTAAATATTCATTTGACATAAATTATAAACCGTATAAATATGATTCAAGGAGAAGATAGTGATCTTTTCCAGTTTTCACTTACGTAAGTTTTCTTGTATGCCAGGAAGACAGCCAGCAGCAGCGGGTAGGAGTAGCTTGACAAGATCCTGATGAACTCAGCCTCGTCCGTGCCGTCCCTACCTTCACCTGTGAAATGGATTTCCAGTTTTACACATGTTCGATAGAAACTAAATTTTCGTAATTTTCAAAATTGTTTGGACCTTAGTGCGATTGCTATCGGCCATAAATGCTGAGATGAACGCTTACAGAATCCCTAGGCTGGCTTGTGTATAGCTGCATGGAATCTTTAACACATTTTAGACACCATGACTCAGGCAAGGTCAACTCAGATCAACCCATTTCAGGCACCATAATTTGTACATGGTCAACTATTTCAACGGGGCTCGGGTTAACACATTTCAAGGACCATAACTCTTAGGCTCAGTAATATTGCTTAGCATGCGTTAGGAACGACAAGTTTAAGCCCCATGGCTCTCCAGTTCATTAAAATTGCTGGGTAGGCGTCATAGCTACGACACGTAATTTGGGCATGATCAACTATTTTTAGGGGACTCGGGTTAACACATTTCAAGCACCATAACTCTTAGGCTCAGGAATATTGCTTATCATGCGTAGGGAACAAGTTTAAGCCCCATGGCCCTCCAGTTCATTATAATTGCTGGGTAGGCATATACGTAGCTACGACAACTTTTAGGCACAAAATTTCACCAGCTTGGTAGAGTCGCTCTGCCAGCTTAGGCGCCAGCTCCAGGTCGATGTTTCCTTCGTCTCTCTCGCCAGAAGTCATGGCAATGAGCAGACTGCGGAAATGACCTGAGGTCTCCTTCTCGAGGCTCTTCTGTAGCGACTTGTCGAACTTGTGCTCGTAAACAGATTTCAGTTCTCTATAGAAAAAAAGTGTATTATTGTACGTACGAAAAGTGGTGCTACTGCGAGAAAGAGTAATAATAATTAATTAGTCGTCTGGATTATCGTTGCTACAATTGAAAAGTAACATTGTTATAAAAAAACGTTGTCACATTTGCATGAAACAATTGATCAAGATCAGGCAGTAAGGATGTGTATATATATGAATTTGCATGATCACGGACTTCGGCTTCATCGTCATATCGTCGGCTTCGGCTTCATATCGTATTAGAATTAGAACAGTCGCCAAAATAATATTTCATTACTATTCGTTTTCATAATTAATATGGAGTAATTAAACTGACTTGATCTCCTTGTTGTTGCGGGTGCAGAGGATCTCGACCAAGGTGTCCTCGTTGGTGCCCACGCCCTTGAAGGCCTCGTGTACGTGGTCGGCGAGCAGCTCGGTCGTTGGTACCAACAAGGCCAGCACCACGCGCTCGAAGTGCCCACTCAGTTCCTTCTTAAGTTCCTTGGCCAGGTCCTATCGGACAAGTAAAACATAAAAAAGATATTAAAGAGGGGTCCCAGGAAACCTTTTTCCACGGGAAGAATAATATATTGTGATAATGGAGCCGGCGAGACCAGAAAATTTCAAAATTTGTAAGGAGCCTACGAGCTGGTGACACAATCGGTGTTTAAGTTTAAGTTTAAAGCTCACTCTAATCTATGGGCATGCAAACTTTTTCTCAAGTAAAATCGAAAATTTGATTTTTTCAGAGGCTGCTTATGAATTTTTTTGTGGCTCTAGTTAATAGATTTGAAATATTGATAAATTTAACAGGTAGTTCTCCTTTCTATAGATTATTTAATAAACAACCCATAGCAAAATTAGTAAATGTTTCGATTTTAGTTATAGTAGATACATTCCTCGTAACTCAAAGCCAGCTTAATATTTGTACTGTGCCTTTGAATGATGTTGTTTGGAAAATGATCGTCATTTGATAGGACTTAGTTAAATGTCATATTGAAGACTGAGGCGAATTAGGAAATCGGAATTAGTAGTTCTCTAAGTTGATATGATTTTATCATTTGCATTATCATTTCACCTTGCCATATTCCTGTTTGAACGCCGAGCTTATTTTCTGGCGCTGGTCGCTGGTCCTGTTGGCGAGGATGTTGATGATGGAGGCTTCGTCGGTGCCGAGGCCCTTCATGGCCTTCCTCAGCATCGCCGCGTCTGTCGAGGGGTCGAAGTTGCCAACGTGCTTGAGTGTTGGTTGAGCCTGAAATTCCAAACTTGTTGCAAAATTCAAGCTTGACGTTAAATCAAGAAATTACTTTCTGTATTCAGGATAGTATAGTTGAAAAAATCGCAGATAAAATCAACTACGGATTTGAAAAGAAATTCACATGACTCCTAAAAAACGAATTTTCGATATTAAATACTATACCATGATACTTAAATCTATCGAAATATACCATAAAACTCGAATGATAAATTAAGAGCTTAATTTCCAAGATTACCTCTAATTAAATCGCCATACTGATGGACTTTAATATATAAATTTTGAGAAATTGGGGGGGTGGATCATTTACTTTAAACTTTGATTTGATGCATTTTAACCATTCCATTTGATGGGTATTTTTTGATTCCCACCATTTGATGCATGTTACTTTAAATATCAGATTGGTCACCCAAATTTGTTTGCAGTTCTCACATGTATAAGAAATACTAAAATACTGTACAGATTTTAAATCAACAATTCCTACCGATAAATGTGATGAAATAATTGTTAAATCGGCCACATACAAGAGCTGAAACTAGAGTTCAACCTAGGAAATTTAGTTTTCGTTTGTTAGTCAATTAAAATATTGCTTCTAATTCAGTTGGTCCGCCATTTTAGGCGATCTGTTATGGAGTTTATCTAGAGGCGTTGCAAATCTTATCACACTCGTGAGTCTTATTGATTACTGATAATTACCTGGGACCAGGCACTCGATGTCTAATAACTCTCAAGTGCCACAAAGTGCTTTTACTAAACTATGTACACATGGTAAGTGATAAATTTGTTTTATGTTTTTACACGGAGTCAGTACGCTCAAACAAGTTTTAGTTTGTTATAGGTTTTTACACTGATCGAGTCGGTACGCTCAAATAAGTTTTACTCTGTTACATGTTTTTATAATAATTCGGTATGCCCAAATAGGTTTTACTTTGTTATAGGTTTTTAAAATGAGTCGGTATTATCAAAGAGGTTGTACCCCCAGGAGGCCGAAATATATGCGATTTCTAGCAAATTTCACAAACTTCCTATTGAAAGTGTTATAGTTTCCTCTGAAATACCGGTAGCGTTTGCAATAAATGGAATTCCTAATATATAAATGGAATATCTATTTTGGTTCCAAGTGAATCAACAATTTCCATTTGAGCTACAAAATGAATGTTTTAATACCAAAGAAGATCAAAATTAAGGTAGGTACCGTTAATATATATTGGATAAAGTTTTCGTCTGGGTTGACCTTTGAGGCATTTTATGATATGATCCTAAGTTATTATGTTTATTTTGGCAGGTAAAACGATGATTGAAGAAGGAACATCGCGCTCGTAATTTTTGGTTACTCATAGTTTAAATTTAAAAAATCCTCTATGCAGACCTTAAGTTTATAGTCTCTTTGCCAGGAAATAATAACTTTGATACTCCGTCAGTAGATAGAGATCTCGTTATCATCACTATCGCTGAGCTCTTGATAGCCATCATTGAAGAACCGCTTATTAAGAGGAAGCTACCAAGATAACGAAGAACGTCATCATAAAATATAATGCTGTTTGAAAGTCGATATTAATAAGATCTCGGAATCTTTTCCAAAGCAATGCAAGGTTTAGAAAGAAAGGCTTTCCTGATTAGATTTACTGATCATTGAAATCAGTTTTGAATGAATCGGTAAATTTTTCACTTTTTTCAATTCCGAGTTGGGACGAGTCAACTTCTCAAGGTTCATGCGGTACATCGGCCACACCATCGGCTTTACATTTTCCAGATATCCTCGGTGAACTCTCACGTTAGATTAATTTTGTTCACAATTATAGACGAAGGAAAAGGTTATTTAATTCCTAACTATTTTATAGAAGGTTCTATTTACAAAACACTCCGTATGGAAACACGGAACACAGAATTCAGACAAGCTCTGATTGTCCATCGATTATGGATCATGGTTCAAAATTCACCCTGATTCTCATGAACTATTAACGACTAATGTGAGTGAGTTAATAAATCAACTTTTTTAACATCATGTATCCTTTTTAACGAGAAGAATTTAAGAGAGAATCATCCACTTATATAAATAATGCTACGAAAGAAAAATTACTTATTTATAAACATCCAAGAACGCTTGCACATTGAATTTATTTACAGATAACAGAAACAGTGCATAAAGTCATAATTCACGTATCACACGTGAACTACACAAACAATTGATGGAAAAATAGTATTTGCTTATCATCAATTTTCTTCAACACACTAATCCAACCAGAACGTAGTTAATTACAACAAAATCACGCGAATAAAATAACTTACAATTACACACATGAGACGAAATTTTGTACGGTCGTACAAATGGCGTGTTGACTCACCATGGTCAGTGGGTAGATGCTAATTCTCTCTGGCAGATAACGTGATAAGATACAACTCGTCGCCGTTGACCAAATGCCACCACTTGAGAGACCCTGGAACGCTTACAACTTTACCTGAGCAGAGCTGCCAAGCTACTGAGGTCGAGGCTGGCAGTGGTTACCCCGACATTTCGTAATAGGTAATAACCTGCAGGTACACGATTTCACGGAAATCAGAACGGTAATCAACTAATCACTCGTAATCAACAATGACCGTTAATATGTGGCAGCAGCTGCGTTTAGTTTCCTAAAAATTAGGATCAATGACAGCAGGATCTAAAAATTCATATAAATGCATTATATACTGCAAAATAAGTGTATAACGAGGAACAATGAGTGAAACCTAGAGAAAATGAGGCCTGAGTAACACAGACGTGTAGTGTTAAATTTTTTCAATAGTTATAAAGGTCTGAAAAAGCACGCAACAGTTGTTAAGAAGCGTAAAAACCAAGTGAGAAAAGCTTAGAAATAATTCCTTTCAAAAAAAGTGCAAAGACTACACAAAAAATATGTGGATGAGTCGCTTTAAAATAGATGCTGCTGTGGCCAGGTTTGGAGTATAGCTGTTGACATTTGCTGTTATCTCGATATCGTAAGATAACTAACTGTAGGGGCAACCGTTTAATAAAATCATGTACTAGAGTTTGGAAACGTTGTGCGGTCACCGAGATTTGAAAAGGACAAAAATTGAATAGAAAATGTTCAAAGACGTGCAACAAGGATAATTCCAGGCTTGAAGGGCAAGACCTATGAAGAAAGATTGAAGATTATGAAGCTTCCAAGCCTCAGTTATCGACGTCTGCGTGGGGACCTCATTGAAGTATACAAGTAGCAACGTCAACGGACTAAATTAGGACATTTTTTACCTTTTATACCTTTCCTACTAGAAACTCGAAAATATTCTAGTGGGAACTTTATTTCAAACTGTTATTTACAGAGGAACCTAGGGAAACCTATTTTATTGCACATATTTCTACTGGGAGCCTTTTTTTCTAGCAAGTAATTCTGCGGTTCTCCGTGGAAATGGGTTCCCCTGCAAATAACTGTTAGAAATAAAGTTCCCACTAGAATATTTTGTTTCACTCAACACTGTTGCAAGAAGATGCTGGTGTGTAAATATTATTTGGTCTAGTTTTTATAATTATCATCTATGCAAAATGGTATATATTTTACAGACTTATTTTGTGCATTACAGTTCATCTTGCAGTGTCCTCTTTTTAGCCACTCATTTTAGACACACGATGTCAATTACAAAGATACTATGTCAAAAGTTGATATTACTTTAGTTTTTTCAAAATCACAATTGTTTAGATCGGAATTCAAACTAAAAATATTCACGATGCTTCCATAACTTCATTCTAAATTTCTTCCTAAAAATACCGGGGGGAAGAAAATTCCCTTAATCACGACAGGTTTTACGAATAGCGTGCTGTACGACGGACTCGATATAGACGTGCAGACACGCGATGTATAAACCACAACTTACGGCGCGCTGCCAAGCTTGGGGCGTTGGCCCGTGCAGAGCGCTGACTGCTTCGGGATATTGCTGTCCTTCAGCAACCGTTGCTTTTGTGGAATAATTCTATGAAATAATGCAGCGAATGACTGCAGAGGTGAAATGAAATTTTTAAGGCGATTCAAAGAATTTCGATGTTTGGCGAGGAAGATATAATCTATGGCCATTTTTTCTCTATTTAATACAAGCTGACATCTCGTACGAATTGGTCAGCACAAAGAAAATTATTCGAATTTCTACTCGGTCTTAAAAAAAACAACTATACAATTATTATTTAATTGTATTGTATGGTTATTGCACTCATCAATGGCTTTATTAATTCAGAGGAATTTGAAGGAAAACTCAAAACGATATGAATATCAATCTTTTTCGCCTATTTATTTATAAGTACTCAACTGACTCATCTCTTAGCAAGTAATATAACGATCCACATGGTGATGCGAATGGCGCGCTACCGTACACGTAACACAGATACGCCCTTTTGCTGGGCCAAACTGAGTCAGGTTAACCCACACAAACGCAAGAATTGCATCGAAATTTGGACAAGGTTTCATTGATTTCTCTCAGTGTATGGTACTTCATAAGGGCCGGTGATTATGTATTTGGAGCACCAAGCACTTTGATGGTTCTCAAAAGGTGCTGTAGGTGGAACTTCTAAGTGAATGAAATAGAAGCTACTGCTGGCGCGGGGCCACAATAACTTGATAATGAGCTGTAGAATTAATTGAATAAAAATATTAGAAAATCAGTATGGCTTGCAGAACAACCAGCCAAATCGTAATGGCTGGCAAAAAAAATCGGCTAAATCAGCATGGCTGTCAAATGTTAAATATTATATATTTCACAATGAAGCGTTTATTTTAAAATATCAAGCTAGCAGAAAATCACGAGAGAGTAAGGCTTAACCCTCTACTTCCTGACATGAGTACCCGGAGCAATATGTCATAAGCCTACTTCCCATAAACGATGCGATGCAAGTGAGTTAAAATGACTTGCACTGATGGTTGCCGCCACGTACGATAACTTTAAAATGTTTTCTGTTGCGTACAAACGTCCTCAGGTTGCTACACTCAATAGTTTACGTATAATTTGCCGCCACGTA